AACCGCTCTGAGCTGGCTCCCTCTGCAGGAAGAGCAGCGAGGCAGGGGCTTAGCCACCTCGAGGGCCTTGTGCCTGGCTGCGAAGGCACGTGAGGCTCATGGAAAGAGAGCGAGAAGAGAAGGCCAGTCCCTGGGCTGTGCTGCGGGGGGTGAGAGATGGCTGAAGGCAGCCCAAGAGCAGGGAGGCTAGAGACATCGCCAAGGTCACACAGGAAGTCACTGGTGGGGCTGTGACCATCAGGCCAAGCCTGTCTATAACTGGCCACAGGGAAATATATAGTCGTGAACCCCACCCTGGGCTAGTGGGGGTGGCGAGCCTCATGGCAGTCCTGGCCCCTGTGAAGACAAGACTCTGGTACTTTGACCTCTGTCAGGGTGACTTGCCAGTGCTTGCTTTCGGGACACGTATCAATTTGCAGGAAATTCCATCTGTCTGGTCCACGCGCCCTCAGACAGGCCGTGCTCTAAAGCTGAGGCTGCTTTGGTGGTGCGTGGAGATTAGAGTCTTTAAGGTGAGTTACTGTTTGGACCCGCAGACCTCCCCATAGGATGGGCTCTTCTGCAAAGCAAATGGAGATGTGGACCCCCTGCGGGACTGATCCAGGACTTATCTGTTTTCAAGACGTGGGCACAACATGAGGCACCTGGTCACCCTCCCTTTCAAAGTCATCAACTCTGAGAGTTCCATTAACTTCTTTCCTCCCTCCCTCCCTCCCTCCCTCCCTTCCTTCCTTCCTCTCCCTTCTTTTCTTCCTTCCTTTCTTTCTTTCTTCAGATTTTTAAAACTTGTGGTTAAAAAATACATACCATAAAATTTTCTCTCTCACCCACCTTTAAGTCTACAGTTCTGTGACATTTAGGTACATTCACATTGTTGTACAGCCATCATCACCATTCATCCCCAGAATTCTTTTTGTTTTGCAAAACTGAAACTCTGTACACATTAAACACTAACAGCCCATTCTCCCCTCGCCCAGCCCCTGACAACCACCCTTCTACTTTCTGTCTCTATGAATTTGACAACTCTAGGGACTTTATATAAGTAGAGTCACACAGTATTTGTTCTTTTGTGACTGGTTTATTTCACTCAGCATGATGTCCTCCAGGTTGGTCTATGTTTTAGCAGGTGTCAGAATCTCCTTCCTTTTGGCTGCATAATATTCCATTGTGTGGACAGACTACATTTTGTTTGTCTCTTCATCCATGGATGAACATTTGGGTTGCCTCCTCCTAAGGCTCTGTGCACAGTGCTGCTGTGACTGTGGTGTACAGTCTATCTCAGTCCCTGCTTTCACTTCTTTTGGGTATGGACCCAGCAGTGGAATTGCTTCTATTAACTTTTAATGGTTCTTGTCCCTGATTTCTGAGGAATATTTCTGAGTTCCACATTTGCACAAGCCCAGGTCTCCCCGGTGGCTGATTAATGATGGATTGCAGTGCTGCAGTTGCCCAGAGGAAGCCCAGGAGTGGGCTTCTGGGGCCTGGCTTGGCACCAGACTCTTTCACCTGTAGGTAATTTTATCTCATTTATATTTCTTGTCCAGGGCACAAGTCCAAGGAATAAACATTCATTACAACAACTAAAGTCATAATAAGGCAAAGCTCCTAGTTTGACATTTGCTTTCAAAATTTTATCATCTGGACAAGGGCAGCTATTTTATCACAGGCTGGGAGAGGGGTTGTATGTGGGAACATTGTTCTCCCCACGAACCATGGGCTGTAAGGACTGAACTACAGGGGCTGAGTGGTGGTGATGCTTGGCTTTAATTTGACCCTCTTCAGCTGCTGGTACTATGATGTTGGAGGCTCCAGATCCCACTGCTGAGGGCAAATCTGGGGCCAATCACATTAATTTGGGATTTACATGTTTCTTAACAAGGCCTACCTGATAAGAGCAGTGGCACTTTGGTGAAGGGCATGTGGCATTTGTACACTGACACTTAGCCCTTCAGTCATCTGCTCTTGGAGTTTCTTGGCCAGTCTGATGAGGCCAGAAAGCAAATGAAAGCAGTGTCCGATCCACTCACAGACTCTCACCACTGGCAACCTGTTTCTGTTGCTCTAGCTGTGGGTCGCTCTTCAGCATATTTAAAAACAAGTTACATTCAGACAATGCACCTTACTTTTAACAAGGCCGCCCTCCACCATCACCACCGTCCTTCAATTTCTCAAACTCTAGTGTAGAAAATCCAAAGAATTCTATCCTGCCTGTGGCTGTTTCAGAAAAGGGATTTCTGTTAGTAAGATCATCTTTAAGCCAGGAGGATGGGAAAGGATTGTGGCTGGGCTGAGGAGCCCTGTCATTAGACAGGGCCCCCGGGTGCAGCCAGCAGGAAGGTGAGGCCAGCCAACCCCTCTCTTTCCTGTCGGACAGTGTTTTCTGTGGCTGTGTAGGACTGAAACAGCTCTGTCTCCTTAGCTTCTCTGGATTTGGAAGGAAATCTGCTGGAGTGGTTGCCACCTTTATTCCAACCAGTTTCTCTCCAGCATCATCTGGTGCCAGTGTCCAGGCACCCACCCCTCCCTGCCCTCCCACTTGGGTCTCTGTGGGCAGGGGACCAACTCAACTCTTATGTGCCATTCTGATCCAGGAGCTAAACACAGACAAGTCCCTGTCCTCAAGGCAGGCCAGGGGGCTTGCGGGACCTACGTGTGTTGTAGCACATCCACAGCTGGGAGAATTTGGTGTCAAGTGCTCACAGTTTTCATAGCATCTTATAGTTGTGGTGTATTAGATCTATGTCAATCAGTAGCCCAATGGCCCATGTTTGAGAGGAAGGAAGGAAGTGTGTTTGTGATGCACTGACCAGTCCAAATGGAAGCTTCTTGATTTCATGTCACTTCCTCCTCATACCTGGTGGATTTCATCATTTTCATTTTACAGTGAAGGAAAGAGAGGCTTGTGGGGAGTACAGGGTGCAGACCCAGTGAGTACTCAGCAGGGTGAGGACTCAGGCCTGGGCTGAAGGACCCCTGTACCACCTTGTCAAGGTGATGAGCATATCTCAAATCTGCCTTTTCTCTCCA